GTCTGGCTCATCTCCTCCCTGAGACCCCTCTGCAAGGGGATCTCCAGTGGCCTATAAATGGTCTTTGGGTCTCCACTCTGCACTCCCCCCATCATTCACTATGGTAAGACTTTTTGTTCTGATGATGCTTTATACCTGATCCCTTCGACACCTTGTGATCACACAGGCTGGTGTGCTTCTTCCATGTGGGCTTTGTTGCTTCTGAGCTTGATGGCCGCTTATTTACCTTCAAGCCTTTAAGATGTAGGAAGGATTTTAGCAAGCAATGACACGTTCTATGAAACCAGTCACCCTGCTTCCATTGTCATTGTCCAACGGGCTCATGAACAAAGTGGCCATCATGGCAGGGTATATAAGTACGCATAGGCTCAGCAACAGAGACTTCACTCAAGACTGACTTGACTACTGATCCTTCTGATTATCCTATCTGCCAGAAACCAACACTGAGTGTGAGATATGGGACCATTTCTCAGGAAGATCAACTAGCAACTTGATTATCAGGTCACTTCCATCATGGAAAGGGAAGCATTTTATTCTTACTGAAATAGACGCTTAATTTTGGATATGGATTTACCTTCCCTGCATGCCATATCCTCTAGTATGGTCCTAGCATTGGATCAAGGGATTTACTTCATAGAAAATTATTTTCAATAGGCTCATGCTCATAGAATTCAATGGTCTTATCACGTCCCCATTGTCCTGAAGGATCTGGCTTGATAGAACAATGGAGTGAGCTTCTAAAGATACAATTATGGCACCAGGTAGGTGGCAATATCTTGAAGGGTTGGGCAATGTTCTCCAGAAGACTGTAAATGCTATAAAACAGTTTCCATGTGTGGTGCTATTTCTCTAACAGCCAGAATTCACAGGTCCAGGAACCAAAGGGAGGAAATGGGAATGGTACCATTCACTATTACTTCTAGTGACCCACTCACAAAATGTTTACCTCCTGCCCCTGTAAACCTATGCTCTTCAGGTATAAAGGTCTTAGTTCCAAAATGGTGATGATTCCCACGTAGAGTAACAATACTGATTTCATTAAACTGGAAGTTTATAATGCATCACCACCCACTTGAAGTTCCTCATATCTCTGGATCCCTGTGGGAAACAGAAGGATTTCTCTCAAGCTGTCTCCCCCAAATATATACCAGACTTAGCTGCTTGAAAATGACTGTACACTTGGAGGTCATCAGGAGTGGATTGGGGGTCATTCTCCCTGAGAGTTATCAGCTGTCTAGATCAAGCAGACACCATTGTTTATCCCACAACAAGTAGGGCCCACTCCCTTCTGATAAGGATAGTAGTTGTCTGTTTCCTTGTAGAAGACACCAGAGAGGTCAAACCCACCCAAGGATGAACAAGATTAGACTGCCATCATGAATCTAGGGTCCGCCCATCTTGTCACATGTATACCCCTAGACCTTCCCATTCCTATGGGCACAGCCCTAGCTCATCCCTTCCTGTTACGCTTATACCTATCATAGATCCCCTTCCTACAATGTACTGTTGTACTGCCTATTGTACTGCCCCTTCCTGTGACATGTGATTCTGTAATCATGTCCCCCTAAAGTGATATAATGGTTGGTTAGCAATACAGAAGAAGCTCTCTCTGGAGCCCAGGAGGCTCTCCCCTGCTCTGGGGCTAGAGGCTCTCCCTGATCCCCGGGGCCCTCTCTGGCTCTTGGGTTCTCCATCCCCGAGGCTGCTCCTGCTCTCGTAACCAGGTTCCCCCCACGAAGACCACCAAGCAGGGCAGAGGTGAGCAATGCTACCATGTAACGTGTTTGACTGCATCATTGTAATATCTCTTTTATCTTTCATGCTCTCGATGACTTTAATATAATATATATATCTCAGCCGTACAATTGTGCTTACTGAACCCGTAGGTAGTAGCAGTGGGGGGGGCTGGCCCCTCACCCCCCTCCAAATTTAATTTAATACTACAGATGCCCTGACAAAGAAAGGAGTTATTGTATTGGGTGATGTGACTGATTCTGACTACAAAGGGGAAATCAGATTGGTCTTACATAAAGGTGTTAAAGAAGAGCATGTCTGGAATCCAAGAGATTCCTTGGGACTTCTCTTAGTACTACCATGTCAGTGTTAAAATCAATGAAAAACTATAGCAGCCAAATTCTGACATGACTATTAATGGTTCAGACCTTTCAGGAATGAATATTTGGGTCACCCTGCCCTGAAAAGAGCCACAATCTACTACTGAGGATAAAGGAAATACAAAATGGGTGGTAGATGAAGGCAGTTCCAAATATCACCTATGACATGATGAGTTGCAGAAAGGTAAACTAATTGCTAGGAGTATTTCCTCCTTGTGATGGATAGGTTTTATGTCAGCTTGATGGCAGCTGTGTGTGTGGGGTGTGTGTGTGAAATCCAACCTGTCAATTAGGCACTGTCAGCACACTGCCCTGCTCTCACTGGCCTTAGATCCCAGACTGCACCCACCAGCCAGCTTCCCACTTCACTGTTCTGAATCTTGGGCCTGAAGCTACGTGAGTCCAAAGAGGGGTCTGGCTACAAATGGGTCTGGCTACTCATGGACTTGAGCTGGACTTGGCTGGATGGAATACTGTCTTAATATAAAGTTCTTTCTTTACATATGAGGGGGTACCCCAAAAAACCTGGAAATTGTTTTCAGAGCTATATAAATTTTTTTTACAAAACAACCTTATCACCTCAAAGTACTCTCCGTTACACTTAATACATTTGTCAAATCTGAGATTCCATTCTTGGAAACATTTTTCAAACTCATCTGTTTGTACGGCTGACAGCAACTCCCTCATTTTTTTCCCTCGCCTCTTCTACATGTTCTGATTGCTCTCCTTTCATGTCTCTCTTCATTCACAGAAACAGAAAGAAGTCGTATGGTGGGAGGTCAGGTGAGTAAAGTGTGTGGGGCAAGGGAGGCATGTTGTTTTTTGTCAAAAACTGGCGCACTGAGATGGCTATATGAGCAGGTGCATTGACGTGGTGGCAAACCCAGTGGCCCATCTGCAACAAACCAGGCCTTTTTTTGTTGCACTGGTACACAGTCTTTTCAGAACCACTAAATAGAAAGCTTGATTAATAGTCTGACTTGGTGGAACGAACTCCAACTGTGATACTAGTTGACATTTTCATCCAGTCAGGAAGTTGACGAACATCCAAACGAGGTTTGTCATCAATCAACATTTCACCTTTTTTGAAAGGAGAAAACCACTCACACACTTGAATTTTTCCTAAAGTGCTGTCCTTGTAAACTGTGTTCAATATCACAATAGTTTCTGTGGCATTTTCACAGCTGCACACTGTTCTCTTAAATTGGCCATCACAAAAAAATGAGATTCAAACAAACTGCTTGTACAAAAAAATTCACTGTGACCAGAGAGAACCTCCCTAGGCAATGCCACTGGGTGCACTAACTCAGAGCGGGTTGCTTTATGCTTGCCTAGTGGGGAAAATGCATACAACGAAAGCTCTGCCCAGTGGAGCTTTTTTCAGATTTGTTTTGTGGAGTTTTTTTAGGGGGTAGAGTATCCCCTCATATAAGTTGTACTGGTTTTCTTTCTGTAGAGAACCCAGCCTAAGACAGACCCTGAGGTATTCCTGCACTGAACCTTCTTGATCTAGGAGACAGAGCTGTGACATCAGAGAAGTGTTGCAGAAGTAGCAGCAGTAGAGGCAGTCCCCAAAGAGCACAAGACAGAGCAGTGGGTTTCCCAGGGAGAAAAGCTGAGTGCCTTTGGACAGGGGGCTCACTTGCAAAGTGGACTGCCACCAGGTATGTAATTAAGAGAGCTATTAGGTAGCAGAACAGGGGCAAGGGTGTCTACTGGGCATGTTTCAAATTCAGGCCTCAGAGCCAGGTAGGCAGTACACTTGGGTGGGCCCCAACTAGTCCAGAAGGGCTTATTTCAGTCAATGGGGTCAACCAGTACCGGCACCACACCTCCCAGCTGAAGGCCCTAAAAGCCGGAAGCTCGAGACCATTGTCCTTGGCTGCTTCTTCCCTTTCCTCCTTGGCTGCTTCTTCCCTTTCCGCTATGTCATGCTGTGGTCTCTCTCTCTCTCTGGCCTCAGGCCACCACGTGTGGGTGCGCAGTCCTATGAGGTTGCCCCTGTTCAGTGACTGTAAAACCTGAAACTTCTTTGGTCCTTTTTAAAAACCCATTTGGATCACAAACCTGGCTCTGGCGTGAATTCTTTCTCGTGCAAAGCCAAGAACCGAGGTATTTCCCACTGGAGAAACCTAACAGAGCTAGGTTTGCGGACCACTGAAGTTATTGCCGAGCTCCACTGGGCTGTTGGTGGTGGAGTGGATTGCTTCCCTAAAGATGGTGGTCAAGAAGCCCATGGAGGTGTTGTTCTACAATGTAACACCTGCAGTTTTGTTTTTTCTCTCCACAATATTCCCAAAGACTAAACAGTGACTAGAACACAGACCCTCCAAACATATTTACTAAATAATGAATGAGAAAGAACAAAAGTTGAGGATAGAAACTTAAGGAAAGCTCTTAGAAACTAATAACACAAAAAATCACGCTTATTCTCGCTATTGTTGTTTTCAATGTTACTAATTTAATTTAAACTGAAGAAAAAGAGACAATCAGAGAATATCACTGACTTAAAAAAAAAACACACCTATATTAATTAACCAGAAAAACAAACTCACGGCCATCGAGTGGATGCCGACTCATAGCGACCCTATAGGACAGGATAGAATTGCCAGTGTGAGTTCTGAGATTGTAACTCAACTCTACGGGAGGAGAGAGCCCCATCTTTCTCTCACTTATCAATCAAAAGCCAGTAGCAAAAAGAGATGAATGAGGAGAGAGAGAGAAGAGATTAGAGAAAGGCATCCGGCTGCGGGAACAGGAAAGTAAGGGGGAAGAGGCAGAAGAAGCCACAGGTTAGAGCGGGCCAACCTGCGGCGCGGCTGCCAGTGCGCAGGCGCAGAGGACTCGGCGCCCGGTCGGCTTTGCCCGGAAGTGACGCAGGCTGCACTGGCCCTGGTTCGGGGGACACGATAGCGCTGCCGAGCGGCGCGGACGGGAGAGGTCGCCCCGCCGCTATGACCTGCACCATCGAAAAGATCCTGACAGACGCCAAGACGCTGCTGGAGCGGCTGCGGGAGCACGATGCGGCCGCGGAGGCGCTCGTGGACCAGTCGGCGGCCCTGCACCGGCGGGTGGCAGCCATGCGGGAGGCGGGGGCAGCGCTTCCGGACCAGGTCAGGCCGGGAGCGGGGTCCGTGCCCCCGGGGTCTGGGAGCTGGAGGTGTACGCGTCTCCGGGAAAGTGGGAACTTGATCTTGGTCGCAGCGGACGGCGGTGAGGCTTCCGCGCGGACGCGGCTGAGACTACTACCTGAGCCCTGACTCCTGACTCTTCAATGTGTCGGCGCTTAGTCTGTCTGTTTCTGTTTGAACAGTATCCAGAGGATGCGCCCGATGCGAAGGACATGACCAAATACAAGCCTCACATTCTCCTGTCCCAAGAGAACACACAGATTAGAGATTTGCAGCAAGAAAACAGAGGTTAGTCAGGCTTTTGTGTGTATACATTTTTTCCCCCAGTCGCAGTTCGGAAGTTCTTGCAACACAAAAGTCCACATCCTGTTAACTATTTCAAGGTAAATGCTTTTAAAAGAAGTTGCCCCATCCTAGCCTAGTGAAAATAAACTAATTTTGAAATTTTCTTTTTCAAGGTCATCTAACATTTTGTATTTATAGACTGCTTGCTTAATAGAGTTGAATTACTGTATGGTGTGAATAAACGTTCCCGACGATGGCGTGAATAACAAAAGAATTAATATCCTCAAAGAATTTAATATTTAATGTTTAAATAATAATTGAAATAAACATTAAAGTTAAAATTTAGCTTTTTAAAAAATGTTCTTGCATAAGATGGAAGAACAGAATTTTATCCTCAGGATTGTATGTTCTTAGACTTGACCGAGGACATTATTAATGATAGCTACTAGTGTGTGAATTTCAGAGTTTCACATATAATCACATTGTATTCTCATATATTCATACTGATGTAAACAAGACAAATAGGTATTATTAGAATAGTGTACATGAATCATTTCCAAGAGGATAAATCACTCTTTACCAAAGTGGGTGATACTGCTGGGGGTGGGGGAAGGGCAGGAACATCCTGGGGGCCTGCAAAAGCAGATACCTAGTACATTATCCTAGATTATGGGCTGTGGTGCAAAGGTTTTTCATTGCCAGGTGGGTGCTGAGGTGTGTGTGTGTGTGTGTGTGTATATATGTAAAGGGCACGGTAGGCCAAATAAGATTGAGAAACCTGTGGATTAAAAGATTTGCCCAAGAATACTAAACCAGTGAGTCACAGAACTGAGCTCAAACCTGGAAGGTCTTCTGATTCCAAATCCGAGGCTGGTCTAACAGACTGTAGTGTCTCTGGCTAGGAAGTTATTTTTCACATAAACTTTAGCTGTTTGGTTTTGTGAACTTAAAAACTGATTTACAGCTTTGGATTTCACAGTGTAACATGAGTGTCATAAAATTCCAACTGTTAATAGTTTGGTTTGGGCTGGGGGCGGGGGCTGTCTCCCAGACATCACCCGCAAGGTATTTCATTTTTCGATAGAGCTGTGGGTTTCCCTGGAGGAACACCAGGATGCCCTGGAGCTGATCATGAGCAAGTACCGGAAACAGATGTTACAGTTGATGGTTGCTAAGAAAGCAGCAGATGCCGAACCAGTCCTGAGAGCTCACCAGTCTCACTCTGCAGTAAGAAACTTTGATGAGTAAATTCTAAGTCAACTTACAATCTGGGAATTGTTTCAGATTTTTATGATTGTTATCAGAAAACACTAACCTTGTTTTCCCTTCATATTTATCACATTTGCTGAGTATTTTGTTTTCGCTTTGTAACGCTAGGACTCGAAGAGGGTGAAGGAGCCCCTCAGCCTTCTTATTTGAGTGGACTCACTGGTGTGGGCTCACCTGACCTGCCTCCACAACCACACAAAGCTCTTTTTCAATGGTATTCACAAAGGCTTAGCTTTGAACACCAAACACAATGCTAGTTAGTGTTGAAGGCATCAAATGAAATAACAAAGCATCATTATTATTAGCTGTTTTAAGAATTTATGTCGCAAAATTTCTGTACTCACGGCTGCTTCTCATTTAATTTGGAGACCCAATCATTGTTCTTGTGTTTTTAGAGTGCGTTATAGTTGTCATGGTACATTCACACATGGCACACCACTTCATCGTAGATTAATGGCTAGAAGCCTTTGTGTTCGCTATGGTGGAATTTCATGAGGGGTGTATTTCAGGAATACAAACCGAAACCCACTGCCCTCCAGTAGAATGTGACTCATTGCAACCCTGTATAGGGTTGCTGAGTCTGTAAATCTTTCCAGGAAGAAGCAGCCTCATCTTTCTCCCTCCGAGTGGCTGCAACGTGGGGGTGAGCAGCCCAACACCGAACCCACAGTACCACTCGGCCTCCTACATTTACACATCCGAATGGGTTTCACCGAGAGGAGGAAAATGAATTTTACTTTTCTGTGGTCCAGAGGAGAAAAGTAGGACCAGTTCTCTGAACAATGAAGAAGATATAGGAAAGCTTTCTGATCTGGCCACTAAAAAAAGGCATCCTGGAATGTGGTAAGCCTCCTGCCGAGGAGTGTTCAAACAAGCTAACAAGCAACTTAGAAATGGAGTCCATCTTGTCCAACAGCTAATGGTTGACTCTACTAGAATTGGCCTTTTGAAAACAGAAAAATGTTTGTGACGCTTACAAGGCCACTTTATTATAGCTTTATTCCTGAAGGCATTGATTATATAGTGAAGCTTAAACATAGGCTCTGTATGATAGAGTAACTGAACATTTTAAACACATAATGCTTATGTTCTCAGGAGCTTCGTGTCTGTGGAGAAGATCATCTTTTTCTTTCTTAAATCATCACAGGAAATTGAAAGTCAAATTGACAGAATCTGTGAAATGGGAGAAGTCATGAGGAAAGCCGTTCAGGTGGATGACGACCAGTTCTGTAAGGTTCAGGAGAAGCTAGCCCAGTTAGAGGTAAGGCTGTGGTGACTACGCTCACACGATTTCAGGGACTTTTCATGGCGTCTGAAAGATAAGTGTTATCACGATGCTGTTGCTGTAGTCATGTTGCATATGTGCTCATGACTTAAAATTAAAACTGCTCCGTGCTTTTACAAGAAAGGAAATCCGAGGGACAGCAAATATTGAAAATACAAATTATGGCTTGTCTAGAAGGTGCAATATCTCAAATGGGGATGGTGGAGAGCTAAACATCCTCATTTACCACCATAGGCAGTCAATAGATAATGCCTAAAGTGATGACCAGGCGTTGTAACAGTTATGTTACTCAGAATTACAGATGTGTAAACTCCAAAAGAAATGGGTGAAGGTGTTAGAAATGGTTGCCTTTGTGGGAACAAAGCCATAGGACTGCTGTTTGTTTTTTAAGCCATACATGTAGTTCCCCTTGATATTTTAAAAACACATACAAAGAAAGACCCGAAGCCTTAATGTGCCCGTAAGTCATTAAGTAAAAAAGGTTTCAGTAGATGGTTTGCTGCATTTTACGGAGCTCTGTTATGATCCCTGCCCGTTTGTACAAAGCGGCATGGGAATGATGCCCAGCCCCTGTGACTTAACAAGTGGGGCACCAGCCCACAGGAGATTCCCATAAGGTGGAGGTCAGACTTGCCTCCATCCTTCAAACTTTTTTTTTTAACTATCTGATACCACCTGCCCCTCCCACAGCCCTCTACTTCCCGACTGGGTTTGACCATTCATTCCAGTGGCTATTCAGAACTCTTAGAAAGTGCTCAGAATTGTTAACATGTTACAGCTCAGGATCAGAAATCCTCAAGAAACATACAGCTCTTCCTGTCAGGACAGTCTCTTCTCATCCATCTCTGCTCCTGAGCTTGTCAGCCACGCTTCCCCTTAACCTCTGCCCTACTCAGATAGTATTCGCAGAATCACTGCCATCGAGTTGAGGCCGACTCAGAGTGACTGTAGGACAAGGTAGAACTGCCCATGAATTTCCACGTCTGAAACTCTTTACGGAAGTAGAAAGTTCTCCTTTTTCCTTCTAAGGAAGGAGCTGCTGGTGATTTAGAACTGCTGGCCTAATGGTTAGTAGCCCAACATGGAACCATTACACCATCAGGGCTCCTCAGGTAATGTTACAAAGCTCTTTTAGTGCTGCTGGTAAATGCCCAAGGGACACTCCACTCTGCTGTCAGTGTTAGCCCCAAAGGGTTCAGCCCTAGCCCCTGGGTGAACACACCTAACTCCTCCAATTAAGTGCCTGGAGGTACCCCATTCCAAAAGCGAGCACCATAGGCCAGGAAGGGCACCACTCTGTTCTTGGTGGTACTGCCCAGAGTGCTACCACTTGTCTAATACCACAGCTCTGTCTCTGAATCAAGGAGGTTCAGCATGGGCCCCAAAACCACACTCCACTCCTGGTTCTTTTTCCTGATGGTAGTGAGATCCTCACTTCCTGTTTCTGTGATGGCTCATTGCACACCCCGCAGGATGCAAAATTGACCAATTCTCATGTTAGAGCTCCAAGTTTTTGCATTAACAATTAGCCCTGTTAACAATCACCACTGAAAGGCGTAAGACATGAGTAGACAGTTTACTAAAGATGACTTCCAGATGGCCATCATACAAAGAAATGTTTACATTCATTAGCTAAAAGAGAAGCACAAATTAAAACAGTGAGACACCAGCTCACACTGACACACTCAGTAAAATTTTAAAAAACAAAATAATAAGTACTGGAGATGTAGAGATTGGAATGCTCAGATATTGCTGGGTTGGGAGGAAGGGGCGCAGGGAGAATAGCCGAATTATAATACCATTATGAAAAACAGCCTGGTGCTTCCTTAAACAAGTGCAAATACAAATACCAAGTGATCCTGCAATCTCTCTACTTGGTATATACTGTTACTGGGAGGAGACTTGAGGTTTCAAGCCTCTCCACTCCTCTCTTCTCTCTCTTTTTTTTTTTTAA